GGATAGGGATGAAATCGTTTAGGGATGAACGGGTTTAAGAGTTTTAAAAGTTTTTAAGAGTTTTAACCAAATGCTTTATAAGATAGTATAGATAGATACCAACTACCCCACAGATTTTAAGTACCTTTAGTGTCAGAACAGTCTGGTTCAATGGACACTAAATATGTTCCAATTTAGAAAACAAGGGCATGCAAAGCGCATATTATATAACAGACACAAGACTTGAAACTAAAGTAATAGAGCATATGACATGTATGGTGAACTAAGAAAATGCTAACCAGTAAACAAAATGAACTGGGAACAAGAACCTTCCACGTGAGATATCACCTTGAAATTTACCTGATAATTGGATATAATTTTTTGCCTGTATTCTCTAATCTACATATTAATAGGAACTTAACAATCATATTAAATTCAAGAAATAAGAAGACATGGGGTTCATCGGGTTAGATTAGGTTCAAATGACCGTAATCAAATTCCAACTCAATACTTACGAGTTTGAAAATTTTACAACTCAATTAAACATCAGATTGCTTCATGTTGGGTTATTTCGCGTTGGTTTGGATTAGTCAGTTTTTTTTGCACCCCTAATTAAAATACTATATTTTTTGTTTCTTTAACAGAAAACAGTCCGCTTTCTAATAATAAGTGTAGAGGCCGACCAAAACTGGTGGTCCAGCTGACCCATTATTCAACCCAATTGTCGAGCCCAATGGCACACATGATAATTTACGGTATTTTTTCACAATGACTCATGTGACCATAGAGGTTCATCTGCAATTACTTTGGTTCATTTACGGGGAAGCTGAAAGGTAAATCCATGACCTTGGACTTGGAAGGACAAACGGTTAAACACCCATGAACTAGACACCTAACATTCGTCAATGAACAACACACGAGCACAGAGGTAATGACGTACCCGTGATATGGATGCCTGAACCAACTGACAATAGGCGGATCATGCCCTTTCAACAGTAAACAAGGTAACATCATTATAAAACAACCCATACAGTCTACAAAATGATAGTTTTTTTAAGTATATAATATTTAAATATACGGCAAATGCAACAAATAAACTCACACACCCTTCTCACCTTTGTTGAGGGTTTTTTTAAGTATATAATATTTAAATATACGGCAAATGCAACAAATAAACTCACACACCCTCCTCACCTTTGGTGAGGTTTGAACCCCTCACCTCCTAATTTACTTTACGACAAACAACAAAAATGGGAAACACACAACAAAACTAAATGGAAGTAGAAAGGTAAAYCCATGACCTTGAACTCAGAAAGACCAAACAATCCATGGATAATTGAATCTCAAAACCATTCTAAAAAAAACCACAATCAATGGATAAATGGAAGTCAAAAGCTAAATCCAAGACCTTGGACTCGGAATAACCCAACACCCATGAACTCGGTCACCTTTAGCCACGTAAAGCCCCTCGATGGACAAGGCAGGAGTATATAGGATGGTAAACAAAGTGAAATCACAGAAAAACAACCTACAAAGTGCTAGCTTACTTTACAATAAACAAAAAAAATCGACAAGACACCACAAAACTAAATGATACTACCATTAGAAGAAAACGACAATTGTGAAAATGCGATTGTAAACAAACATGTATGACAAACAAGCCAAAAAATAGACTTTTAAATGAAGCCTCTTACTGCATCTAGCATACAAGTCTCACGAACAATTGTGAAATAGCAACGGTATAAGTTAACAAAACTAATGAAACCAATAAGACATCATATATTTGAGTGGTATGCTACATGCTAATAACATTGAGCAAGAGTATAATGTTTGATTAAACGACGGAAAATAAAGCAACAGGCGGATCATTGGTGTTCTTTAACTGAGTGAACCAACAAGCGGATAAGCATCAGAAAGATGTCCAATTTATAGTGGATCGTTGGTGTTCTTTAACTTGTGACCGTATAGACAAAATTCCTTGAGGGAAAAAGGAGTGAAGCTAGCAGCCCGGTTTATGGACCATTTCAAGCATAAACCATTTCAAGTCTTGTGCACAGAGGGAGTAGTGGTGGCAGCAAAAAGCCAAAAACTAAGATCCATTAGGTGTTTCATGTTTCTCAATTACGGAGAGCTATTGGGTCGTGTCATTCATACAAGTTTATTCCAACATAGTTGAATAAACATATGGAGTTGGAGACAAGGTGGATGTATGGCGGGAAGGTAATAGTAAGCCACATATATGTTTTACGAACTCAAGAAGTAGGGAGGGCAGAATGGTCTTTTTGATTCACAAGTGGTTACATGTCGGAGTAGATGGTTAAGTCGGTGGAGGAGAAGCATAACCAGGGGAGGTTATGGTAGTTGAAGTCATCAGTTAGTTTGTGAACATACCTGGAGAGAGCCAATCGCTCGAATATTGGCATTGTAGTAGAAATCTTTTAATATCCAAATGATTCATCAGAACACTGCATTTTTTAACCACGAGGATCAGTGTGAAACACATATTTTCTAAAAATACAATCATCTGTCTTACAGTTGAAATACCCAAGAGTTATCTCAACATTTGGCTATGATCCTGCAGAATTGTGACATAACATAATACCATAAGCACATCTTACATAATGACATTAATCTATTTCTTTTGAGGTAAATTTAACAAGTAGCATAAATTAAGAAACCAGTGAAAAAACCTGATAAACCACATTCCTTAGAAAATTGGATGGGTTCAGTTCATTTTATGGCAACAAAACCACGACTGCATTCAATCGACAACTCCTAGAAACAGTATTTTGTGATTTGATCAAGCAAAATTTATTCATAAGCATCAAGAAATGTGTTATGCACTGGCCCAATAGTAGGAGTAATCTGTTACGGCTGTGAATAAATAGGGAGTTAGTGAGAGTGAAGGATCATCCAGAAAATTATCCAGAGTTCTGTTTAGGAGAAACTGTTCCTTTTTGTTGTTAATTGAATCATCAGCCACTTGTTCTTATCTCCTGGATATTACTTCCATTGTTTAATCGGTCCAGTTCATAACAAACGGTACTTACTTCTACGTGCTCAAAGGAGTCCTTTCAGGACTGCAATAGTCGGAACATCATTGCAAAATGGAATCAACGAGCCTCCAAGATTCGTTGGCAGAGCAGAACGATTGAACCTACATCACCAAAGATAAACCGAACAGAGAAAGAAGCCAATTCTGAATGATAAAACTCAACCCCAGGAGAACCACGATCAATAGATAAATGGAAGCCAAGAAATAGATCCATGACCTTGAACCAGAATGACTAAAAACCCTAGAACCAAGTAACCATTAGCCACCCAAAGCCCCTTATGGACAAGACAAGAGCATATAGGCCATGGTGAACCTGTGACATGGATGCATGAATTAACTGAGGATAGACGGATCTTACCTTCAGGACGGTAAACGAAGCAAAACTACAAAAACCCCACAAAATTCTAGCCTACTTTATGCTTAACCATAAAAATGGAAGATTCCACAACTTAAAACAAAACTACTATCCTTAGACATATTAAAACAATTAAATCTCAAAACCATTTTTAGAAAACAACAATCAATGGATAAATGGAAGTCGAAAGGTAAATCCATGACATCGGACTTAGAAGGACCAAACAGTCAAACAACCATGAACTTGGTAACCTTTAGCCACCTAACGCCCTTCAATGATAGGAGCATATAGGAGGTGGTGTACCCGTGACATGGATGCTTGAACCAAATAAGGATAGGCAGACCATGCCCTCGGGATGGTAAACAAAGGAAAA